TATTGCACAAAACTCAGCGTCTCTCTTTTAGCCCCCACAGCTAGGCGGAGAAGCCCTTACAAAATCACTTTCACCTTCCCCGGTGCGACGGAAAAGCCAGGCCCTTTGACACCAAAGACCCTCAAGACGAGCATTGAATCCGATGGTACTAAAGTGCAAGCTTGTCGGAGCAACCGTGTGGAACTCCCTCCACACTCCCTTGAAAACCCCTCCAAGGATCTTCTCCCTCTCTCAAACTCCATCATTTCCTCTCCCTTTCAAACTCTCCTTTTATATTTCCTCTAGAAGAAGGAAGCATCAATGGCTGTCAAAGACACTCTTCATGAGAAAGCAAGAGATCTTTAAATAGATTTGCAAAATCGACATTATCGTCCAAGACGATCGTCGGATCGTCCCGTACAATATGCATAAAAAGAGAGCTTCCGAAAATCCTAAAAACTCAATTTCGATGACAAACATCGTCCAAGACGATCGCAGGATCGTCCCGTACGATATGCTTAAAAAGAGGGCTTCAGAAAACCCTAAAAACTCAATTTCGGTGCCTAGAATCATCCTGGACGATCGCAGGATCGTCCAGTACGATGTACAGAATTTGACCTGATAGTCCTAGACGATATTTGGATAGTCCAGGACGATTAGTACAAAAATGTACAGATCGTCCAGGACGATATTTTGGATCGTCCATGACGATTAGAAGAAAAATTATGATATTTCGGCTTGGACGATTTAAGAAAAACAAGTATGTCGGCAAACATTGTCCTATACGATATACAGATCGTCCAGGACGATCCGATTGAAAATTTTAACCATAATTAATCACCTAATCACTTGATCAATTTAGGCATGATTTGTATTGAACGTCCGGGACGATCTGATCGTCCGGGACGATTAGAACAAAAATTTAAACTTAAATCTTTACATAAATTGTCATTGACGGCCCTTTTCCAAGATCATAAAAGATCGTCCTGGACAATCAAAAATAGTCTAGTACGATTAGTTCAAAACTTGATCTTCTGGATTTGAGTAGATCTCACTCCCTTGAGTATGTGTGTGCTTGGTCACCAAGCAAGCAAACTCCCTTACAGGACTTGACTTAAGAAATCAAAAATTACATCAATGAATATTACAGATCCTTTTACAACATAACATTATTCAACCTAATCTTGAGCTCTAATTCTTTGTTTGATGTTGCATGGTATTCCTGAAATGTTAGTATAAACATAAACAAATATATATTGCAAATACAAGTAGATAACAAAAAGTAAGTCATAATATTTGTTATCATCAAAAATATAAACTCATAAACTCGAGTTGCAACAATCTCCCCCATTTTGATGATGACAAATATTATTTATTTAATTTGCAAAATTGAAAATATTTTTTCCTAATCCCCCCCTCACCAGAATAAAAATTTATAAATAGGGGAAGAGAAAATTTTTGTTGTTTTTATTTTTATTTTTTAAAAATAGAAAACATATATAAATACAACAGTACGTTCTCCCCCTTTGACATTATCAAAAAGAAGAGGGGCACAAATAATCAGAATAATAAAAACAAATAAAAATCAAAACAATCCCTGATCTAGTGAAAAGAAAAAATCAAATATTCTTAAATGAGAAAGTTACCTCTTAATTTTATTCAAAAACTTAGTAAGGAATGGATTGACAACGCATAATTCAGAAAAGATTAAAAATTCAGAAATTATTAATCCAAGCTCAAGTTCTGATTCTTTGTTTGATGTTGCATGATATTTCTGAAATATTAGTATACACACAAACAAACATATATTGCAAATACAAGTAGACAACAAAACGTGAGCCATAATATTTGTTATCATTAGAAATATAAACTCATAAGCTCGAGTTGCAATAAGTTGCACGCAAGTGGTTCTTCTTCGGGAAAATTTGATTTTTGAACTTGCTAAAATGACATTGTGTTAGTTAGTCGTCCTTCATGTAGCACTCACTTGCAATGATTACATGTATACAGTGGATAACAAAACTGCACCACCATCACCATCAACAACACTAAAGCTTTCTCACTCAAGGAAAGTTACACTACCACTATTGAACGCCTTCAAGGTGTTCATCTCAATTAGGGGTGTAAGTGAGCCGAGCCCGCTCGAGCTTGACTCGTTTATCGAGCTTACGAGCTCACGAGACGATCTCGAGCTCATTTAGTAAACGAGCTCGAGTTCGACCTTGATGAGGCTCATCTCGTGACTCGCGAGCCAGCTCAAATTACTCTTTCATTTTTTATTATTAATATTTTTATTACATTTAAATTTAAAAAAAAAATTCTAATCTTCAACAGCCGCATAGTTAATAATAATAAAAAGCATCAAATATGAATGTTAATAAATGCTGCAGCTTTACTCGTTACTAAAATAGTGAAATTTTCAAATATATACATATATATATAATTATATATAATACGTCGTCAAAACATTATCTTAATTGGGCGCGAATCTCGATGCAAAATCAAATTGAAAACATAAAAAATTAATTCGGAGACCATCCGAACTCCGATTTTAGCAAACTTACAGTCGAACTGAGCGTCTCGGAAATACGAACCCAACGACACCAAATTCAACTCGATCCGAGCCCAAATGGGTCCGAATCATGGACCCAAAGCGCTGTTGGAAGGTTCAAACTGCAATTTGAGATATCAAACGGTCTCCGATTTTAACGAGCTTATACTCGAATCGAACGGCTCGACGAGACGAATCCAACAAGCCCAAGATCACAGAATTCCGACATCTCTAAGACCTTCAAATATCCAACGAAAGGTGCACGATCGTAGAATTCGATTTCGGCCGTCCATTCAACCACTCCCTATTCGCCCCTAATCTCACGCCTATTTACGAGCTATGCCACTCCATAAAATCTATAAATAGAGCCCTCATTCTTCACAAGAGGGAATCCAAGCAAGAAGTGAAGAGAAGAAGAGAAGAGAAGAAGAGAAGGAAGAGAAGGAAGAAGCTCCTCCTCGACCACCGACGGAACCTCGCCGGACCACAACAGGAGCTCGCCGGACCACCACCGGAACCTCGTCGGACCACCGCCGGAACCTCGCCGGACCACCACCGGAGCTCGCCGGACCACCGCCGGAACCTCGCCGGACCATCGTCGGAGCTTTGTTGCACCACCACCTCAAGGCCCGACGTTCTGCTCAAAGCCCGACGTTCTGCTCAAGGCCCAACATTCTGCTCAAGCCCAGACGTTCTGCTCAAGGCCCGACATTCTGCTGAAGGCCCAACGTTCTGTTCAAGGCTCGACATTTAGGCCCGTCGTTCAGGCCCAACATTCTGCTCAAGGCCCGACGTTCAGGCCCAACGTTATGCTCAAGGCCAGACTACTAACTAACACCCAAACTTCCAGGTGACGCCAGGGTACTATCAGACAATCAAGTGATGTCGGGTTTAACACTAGACTTATATCGAACAGTTGCTAGTTATAATCTGATCGCCCTTGGAGGCGAGTCAGCCCTTTGTAACCGACTCAAATTCTAGTTGAATCATTTTCAATTGGGCTAGGCCCCGTGGTTTTTCCCCTTTTTAAGAGTTTTCCACGTAAAAAATCTTGTGTTCTCTGTGTGTAAGCTAGCTATCCGTACAACGCTAAGACGCAAAATAATAACTCTATCGCCGCGTATATTCTAGCCCGCAATTGTTTGGCGCGGTCTGTGGGAAAAATCAATCTCACTATACTAAGTACTCCTTCAATGGCAAACAGGTGTAGCCATCGCATCATGGGAACCTCCCACTCCAATTCACACCAATCCAGGAATCAGTCCCTGAATCAGGGACAACAGGCGTCTTCCTCTTTTCACCCCGGTGGCCGGAACCTTGCCGGAGAAGGAACTTTAGGGCCATCCCTTGAAGAGCGTATCAGAAAAATGGAGAAATCTCATATTGAGATCCTTCAACTCTTAAGGGAGACTCGAGGACCAGCACTAAAACCTCAAGAAGATATTCTCCTCCCTCGAGACCAGCCAGGATTCGAAGATGTTCTTCATGTTGAGGTCCTCATTTCTCCGCCAAGAATGCGCCCTCCAACACGTCAAGAAAATGAGCTTGTTGATACGGCAAGCTCTACCCATTCTTCGCGCACAGGCCATCGGCATCACATTCCTCTGGACGTCCCCGAGGACTTGGACCAACAACACATCACTGAACTCCCCCGTAATACCCTACGGCATGAATTACGGAGACTAGTCTGAGAAGAGTTCCCCACAAGGGATATAAGGCAATCTCTTCGTCAACGAGACATTCAGGAGTCATCACCTTTCATAGAAGCTATCCTCCGACACCCCATTCCGACAAGATTCAAACTCCCGAATATTTATTCTTACGATGGGACTTCGGACCCCTACGAGCATATCGATCACTACTGCACCATTATGCATATCCAGCGGGCCCCGGATGCTCTACTCTGTCAAGTTTTTCCTGCCACCCTTAAAAGGCAAGCCCGGACGTGGTTCTACTCGCTGTCCGCCCGGTCCATTCCACTATTCGTTAAATTGGCCAAGTTATTCGTCGAATAATTTGTAGCCAACCGAAGAATGGTTAAAGACTCCTCCCATCTTTCAGGGATACGTCAGAATGAGGGTGAATCTCTTAAAGAGTACTTTCAAAGATATTTCACAGAAGCCCGACAAATTCCAAGGGTAGATCCTGAGTTACTTAGAGGTGTATTTCTTGGAGGGCTTCGCCCTGGCCCCTTCTACTCAGCACTTATGCGTGAAACGGTCCATTCATATGCGGATCTAATCCATCGAGTAGTGGCTCAAATCTCTGTCGACAAAGCCATTAATGCTTATAGGAAACAATTTGAGCAGACAACCGGGAAGCGTAAAAATCTCCCAGGGATGGAGAATCCATCATCACAAAGGAAGAAGCAAGGAACTACAATCTTCCTCCTCGACCCTCACAGCCGCGACGAGAGCCTCGCCAAGAAAAGGAGTACACACCACTCAATACATCCCGAGCGAATGTATTGATGGCCATCCGAGATCAGGAGAGCGTGAAATGGCCACACCCTTTGAAGCCCAACGTCGGAAATCAGGAGCAATATTGCCACTTCCACCGCAGCCGTGGGCACACTACTGAAGCATGCAGGCAACTCAAGGAAGAAATTGAGAGACTGATCCGACAAGGATATCTTTGACAATTCATTAAGAATACACCAGCCCGAGATGAGGTTGGTCCGACTGGGGGCAGAATCAACAACAAAGGCAGTCAGTAAACAATCACCAAATAGTGGGGGAGATCGAAACCATCGCTGGAGGCCCATCAACGCCTTGTCAAGTTCTAATTGCGGATAACAATGAGCCACCAACAAAGAAGCTTCATGTCGATCACTCCATCATCTTCAAGGAATCCGATCTAGAAGGAATAAAGACACCTCATCAAGATCCACTGGTGATTAGCGCAGGAATCGGCGACCCGTGCTATAATATTAAAAGGATCTTGGTCGACAATGGAAGCTCAGTAGATGTTCTATTCTACTCCACTTTTCTTAACATGGGCCTATCCAGAGAGAAACTCCAACCTAGTGTCGGTCCACTATACGGATTTGACAACCGACCCGTAAGATTTGAAGAAACCATTAGTCTCCCAGTCCTACTTGGAGAATTCACCCATCAAGTTGAGCATCCTATTCAGTTCATTGTAGTGAAATCTGAATCAGCCTACAATGCGATCTTTGGAAGGCCACTCCAAATAATCTTCGCCAGCTGACAATCGAACAGGAGGTTGACAAGCTTTTAAACGCAAGATTTATAAGGGAGGTGCACTATCCCACTTGGTTGGCCAACGTCGTAGTGGTATGAAAGGCAAGTGGAGCTTGGAGGATATATATAGACTATACTGATCTCAACAAAGCCTGCCCCAAGGACAGTTTCCTGCTTCCCCGAATCGACTAGCTAGTTGATGTCACCTCCGGACATCAGATGCTAAGCTTCATGGATGCTTATTCCGGATACAATCAGATACAAATGGATCCTGCTGATGAGGAGGCAACAACCTTTCAAACTGATAAGGAGTTGTACTGTTACCTAGTAATGTCATTCGGGCTCAAGAATGCCAGGGCAACATACCAACGCCTGATGAATAAAATTTTTAAGAACCTTATCGGGCGCACTATGGAAGTATATGTGGATGACATGCTAGTAAATAGCCTCGAGAAGTCCCAGCATATCTCAGACTTGGAACAATGCTTCTGCCTCCTTCGATCTTACAACATGCGCCTCAACCCCTCCAAATATGCATTTGGAGTCATCTCAGGAAAATTTCTGGGGTTCATGGTCACCCACCGAGGAATTGAGACCAACCCGGAAAAGATCAAGGCCCTAAGAGACATGCTACCCCCGAGAAATATCAAGAAAGTCCAGAGGTTAAACGGAAGGATTGCAGCACTCTCTCGTTTTCTGACTCGGTCAGGAGACAAATAACTACCTTTCTTCAAGATTCTCAGAGGTGCTCGTAGCTCAAGATTTCAGTGGACCGATAAATGCCAAGAGGCTTTCGAACAACTCCGAGCTTTTCTAGCCTCGCTGCCACTACTCTCGAAGCTAGTTCCAGGGGAAATTTTGTATATGTATATGGCCGTCTCCTCCCAGGCTATAAGCTCAGTCTTGGTTCGGGTAGATGATACTGTTCAACGCCCAATCTATTATATTAGCAAGGTAGTTTCAGAGACTGAGACACGTTATCCATTAGCAAATAAAACAGCCTTAGCGTTAATCTTCTCAGCAAGAAGGTTACGCCCTTATTTCCAAGCACACGCGATCAGGGTTTATACAAACCTACCATTGAAGAGTATTCTCCAAAAGCCCGAGTCATCTGGAAGATTGATCAAATGGTCAGTGGAGCTTGGAGAATTTGATATACAGTTCCTACTTAGACCCGACATCAAGTCGCAAGTACTTGCCGATTTTGTGGTCGAATGTACTAACCACACCTCCAATGAATCAATTGATGTGTCTCCTTCCTCTTCCTGTTGGACATTATATGTTGATGGAGCTTCTGGGAGTTCTGGTGCTGGCACTGGAATCTTATTGATCTCCCCGCAGAAAGCCACACTCGAATACGGACTTAGACTAAAGTTCTCAGCAACAAACAACGTCGCTGAATATGAAGCTCTAATCGCCGGATTGAGACTGGCAATCAATTGTGAAGTACAAGACTTCGTGGTTCACACTGATTCCCAACTGGTCGCCTCTCAAGTAGAAGGGGAGTTTGATGCTCACCATCCATTGTTGGCCCAATATTGCTAGATAGTTAAAATCTTGTTGGCCCAAATAGCGAAGTATCAGATCGTCCATATCCTTCGGGAACAGAACGCAAGGGCAGACTCTCTCTCCAAGCTAGCCACTTCTACGACAGGAGACGTTTTCAGAAGAAAATATATTGAGGAAATCTACTTTCCGAGCATTCAAGTCCCATAGGTAATTCAATCAATAGATGAATTAAAAGAAGCTTCTTGGATCGACCCCATCCTCACTTTCCTACAAGATGGCGTTCTTCCTGAAGACCCAACAGTGGCGGTACAACTTCGGAGGCAGGCAGCAAACTTCACCATTATTAATGGAGAGTTATACAAAAGATCTTTCACAGGGCCATACCTCAAATGTCTTCCTCCTTCAGAGGCGAACTATGCACTCCGAGAAGTACATTCAGGCATTTGTGGGGAACATCTGGGCGGAAGGGCGCTAGCTCAAAAGGTCTTGAGACAGGGATTTTACTGGCCAACGATGAAGCAGGACGCATTAGAGCTCGTACGAAAATGTAACAGTTGTTAGTTACATGTCAACTTCACTCATCTACCTGTCATAGAGATCTCAACATTACAGAGTCCCTAGCCTTTCACCCAATGGGAGATTGACATAATAGGACCCTTTCCTATAGCCACAGGACAGCGGAAGTTCATCATCTTGGCTGTGGACTATTTCACAAAGTGGGTAGAAGCAGAACCTCTGACAAAGATCACTGAAGCAAATGTCAAACAGTTTATATGGAAGAACATAATATATTGCTTTGGCATTCCAGTAAAACTTATCACCGATAACGGAACACAGTTCACCGGAAGGGTCTTCACCATATTTTGTAAAGATCTCCACATTCAACTGGTACACACGGCTGTGGCCCATCCTCAGACTAATGGACAGACAGAGGTCACTAATCGAACCATTCTGAGAGGATTGAAGACAAGGCTGGATAAGGCTGGGGGGCAATGGGCTGACGAGCTCCTAAATATCCTTTTGGGTATATCGTACTACAGCAAGGACTCCAACTGGAAAAACACCATATAACCTCTACTTTGGCACAGAGGCTGTCATTCCCGTCGACATTGGAGTCCCAAGTCATAGAGTTCAAACTTTTGACTTAAATGCTAACGACAAAAAACTCAGGCACAACCTAGACCTCTTTCCGGAAGCAAGAGACGAGGCGATGCTTAAGGTTTCTGCCTACTACCAGAGAGTTGTCCGGTACTATAATAAAAGAATGAAACCACGACGTATATCGATTGAAGATCTTGTTCTACGCAGCATTGAGACAGCAGGAAAAGGTCCTCAACGCAATAAATTCTCCCCCCTCTAGGAGGGTTCATACTTGGTAGCAGCTATGGTAAAGCCTGGTACTTTCAAATTGAAGGGTGCTGAAGGAAAGATGCTCCCTCGGACCTGAAATATTGACAATCTCCGCAAGTACTATCAGTAGAGCACAATAGTGCTATTCGTTTTAAGTGTTGTATGTTTTTAGTATTGTGTGCCTTCAGTATTGTATGTCTTCAGTTTTGAACAATGTTGTTTGTGGTGTTTGTAGCTTCTTCATCAGTAAGTTATCTTAGGGAGCTATGTCTTTGTTTAATGCAGTAAGACTATGTTTCTTTATCTTCTTTAAGTAAAATTGTATTAATAAATTCGCATAAGCTGTGAACTCCAATATCCTTGATTCGAGCAACACACAATCGTTATTGTAGCTCAGTCACCAGATAATCGATCCCAGGGGGATTTGGTCTCGATCTCTTCCACACAGGTTAACATCATCGAGCAGGACTCT